AGAATTTAAAGTTGTCAGTAATTAGTTTATTTTTAATGGGACAACAAAGTTAATCTAATACCCTCTCTGTTAATATAGGAACTGCTCCGGGCAGTACTCGAACCCACAACCTTTGGCTCCGGTTGATTGATTGATTTATTATTAACGTCGCACTGTTCAGCTACACCAGGGATTTTGGCGAAAGACCACGTAATTTTGAACCACGGTCAAGAGACGTGGACGAAACCTGAGCTGGCACCCCCTCTCTAACTACCACACCATACCAACGGGAGGAAAGTATCCGACTACGTTCAGAACCGTGGTTTTAAAAAAGGCGCATAAATGGATAATTTTCATGATATTTAATGTCACTTAGATTAGAATACATGTTTAACATTGTTTTAAGGACATTTTGACAAAAAATTATTTAAATGCAATATTTCGGCAAAAAATTTACTTAGAATAACCTTTTTTTAAAATGTTCTCCTTTTGTGAAAAATGCTTCTATTATAATAATATTTTGCCTGTATATAGCTCAGACCTCTGTACAGAGGCTCAAATATGACTTTTGAAAATTCACATTATTTTCAGAGTTACAACCATTTTGAAATAATTATTGGCGTTTTTTTTTTCTTCTTAAAATTTCTTCCCCCTCTGTTGTCGTAAAGAAAGGATAAACCCACTTTTAAGTTATATATTTCAAAATTCTAGTTGAGCCTTTGTACAAAGGTCTGAGATACATACAGGCAAAATATTATTATAATAAAAGCATTTTCACAAAAGGAGAATATTTTGAAAATGGGAAATTCTATATTCATTTTTTTGTCAAAATATTGTACTTAAATAATTTTTCATTGTAATAATACTCTTAAAACAATTTTGTATACATTTTCTAATCTAAGTGACACTAAATATCATAAATATTATCTATTTATACGCTTTTTTGCAAAATTACGCTTCCGAATGTAGTCGGATACCTTATGGTTATACTAGGAATTTTCTTCCCCAATGCTATTCACCGATTAAGGAATTCTTAATTTTTAGGTATTGTTTTGAAATTTTTTCTCGGGTAAGTAGAAGATTTTTTTATAAACTGTTTTTATCCCATAAAAATGTTTTTACTTTAATGATTTTATTTTAAAAGGAAGGCATTACTATATTCAGATGATACTTTCACCAGTCTCCATATTAGTAAATTCTTTTAAAGAGATTGTTATTACTGAAACACACACATAAACTGATATTTAACCAAAGCAGACAGTAAAATGAACATTAAAGTATGGTACCAAAATCTAAAATAAGTTTTTTACAATATTAAATATAAAATTTACGTTCTGAATAAATTCCTACAGTTCTGACATTTTACTTTTATTTAAATATTTAACGTGATTAACTTCAAGTAAATAAAAATATCTTTTATTAGGTTTAACAACTTTCATACTTAAATTTGTCTTCAATCGGTGGATTTTACTGTCAAAACATTTTAGAGAAAACTTATTGCATTCGATATATTAAAAGCTGTGATAGAAAATATATTTATGTACATAATATAAAAAGTACTAACACTTAATAGAAATGTGTACAACATAAAGAACAAATAAAATTCTGTTTTGATATGCATAGTAATGCTCTAACGCTTTATTATGATTACACACACGATAAAACTATTTTCACTACATTCAATGCAAGACTTACATTATTTCATCGATTTATGACTGTTTTTGAAATTCTGCTAAGCTGTAAGGGGAATTGAGTCAAAAAGGGTGCAAATTTACGATTTTTCAAAACATTTTACTCGTAGTTTATATCTGAACGAAAATTGGATTAGAAGATTTAAATAAAAACAAAATAATTGCGTATGTAATATATAACGTAAATGCGTAACTTGATAACAGTACAGAGATAACAAAATAGAGTTCCATTTTCTTTGTAGCTAGTAATTACTATAAAAGAAGTCTTTTTAAGTAAAACAATAAAATATATTTTATTATTAGACATAAATTGGAAATATTGATATAATGTAAATCTTGCATTCCAGAACTGACTGATCAACAGTTATTTGCTCATTAAAAACAAATATATTAAAGCAAAACATTATTTTTAAAAATTATGCTAAACGTTAGATTCCGCTTTTTACAAAACATTTTTATGAAGTTTAATGTTATTAAAGTTCCTTCTAGATAATCCGTTTCGCGCGCGTATTGAAACGTTTACGATTTCCAGTTATGGTAAAATTTGTTCCTTTTAACACTTCACAACTATATATATTCCTCTACATTTTATGTAGAGGAATTTATTTTCCAGTTATATATATATATATATATATATATATATATATATATATATATATATATTTATAATATTATATAAATGGTATTTCTAAATTAAAAAAAAATCATTTTCATTTTTTTATTCTTTACTTTCTTAATAGGTTTAAATCCTTATGTACTGCAGCTATTTAAGTAAATGTAAATTCTTTAGAAAATATCAAAATACATAAAAACACAAGGAATTGTAAACAAAAAATGTTTGAATATGTTAATTTGTGAAGAAACATATTCTGGAAAACTGAATTAACTCATAGTTGAATATAGTTAATTATTTTGTAAGATTTTTTTACTGAAGTATACATTTTTATTAAACTAAAATATATTGAAGAATAAATTATGCTTCATGTGAAAAAATCTATAATCTTAATTACATATATTTATTATCAGCAATTTTCTTCGATACTAACTTATGTAAGGTAGTCTGAAATAAAATTGTTATATAAATGACACATTAGACGAAGATTTGTAATGCAACATAAACAACCGAGAGAGAAGAAGATTTTATAACATTATTAAAATACTCATCTTAAGTACATCATTGCATAATTGCAGGATATATGGAGTCAATAGCTTAAGAATGCATGAATTATGATTTGTACGATGTTTGGAAATATTCAATTATAGGCTTCTCTTTTATTTTATAGGAATTCTGTTTTATGAAGTATTCATTTATTTTCTTAATTTTTATGAAATATCAATACCTTTTTTTCATTCCCATTACTGAACTCAGTGGCGCAACAGCCAATGAGGGCCAATGATTCCCTCAGTTTAGAGACCTTAAGCACTGGGGTGCATGTGTAGGTGTTTGGTCAAGTGGTCAGTCTCATTCGAGCGCCAATTGTTTTGTTCCCAAGAAAGCTTGGTAATCAGATCTTGACCCACTGAATGGATGTAAGGCTGAGTCTACCTTATTCAGCTCCGGAATTGAACCCCCGGTCCTGCGAAAGCGCGAAAAAACTTCCACCCGACACCGGGCATCAAAACCCTATTATAAATTAGAAAAATATATAGGGCATAATACTATACATTTATTGGTAAATAACGTACAGAAAAAAAATATATAAGTAAGAATTAAACTTAAACTAAGAAGTAAAATTAGCAGTTATTCTCGTCCAATTATAATTTCCATACTCGTCTGATTGATGGATGAGTTAGTCAGTTTTTTAACTTTGCATTACGCGAAGCTTTTCGGATGGATTTAATTTTAATTTGTATTGCAATGAGAAGTAAGACGAATGCTGTTATTGACGGATCTTGCAATTTTGAAACACCGTCAACTGACAAGGATGCCACCTAAGCTCTAAAGAACTCATCTCCAAATTTTCATACGTCACCAAAGAGAAGGCTTTGAGCCTCAAATTATTATACGTTCTCTCAGTAATTAGTAAATTTTAAATGGACCAAAAAGGGTATAATTATATCCTCCCCTTAAAACTTCAACTACTCCTTGTAGGACTCGAAACCGCAACCTTTGGCTCCGGAGGACAACGCCTTATCCATTAGGTAACTGGAGCTCTCAGTAACAACTTCACAAAAATTAAATACTGAAAAACGTCAATTGAGTAAACACTATTAATGTGTTTTCCTAACAATTCTTGGTGTCTGGAAGAATTTAAAGTTCTCAGTAATTAGTTTATTTTGAATGGGACAACAAGGGAAAACTAATATTCTCTCAGTTAAAATAAGAACTGCTCCTGGCAGGACTCGAACCCGCAATCTTTGGCACCGGAGGCCAACGCCTTATCCATTACGCCACAGGAGCTCTCATTAAAACTTTACAAAAAAAAAAGGAAATCCTGAAAATCAGCAATTTCTGTAAAACTATTAATGTTTACCATAACGAGGCTTTGAGTCTTGAAGAATTTAAAGTTCTCAGTAATTAGTTTATTTTGAATGGGTTAACACTAGCAAACTAATATCCTCTCCGTTAAAATAGGAACAGCTCCTGGTAGGACTCGAACCCACAATCTTTGGCTCCGGAGGCCAACGCCATATCCATTAAGCCACAAGAACTCTCATTAAAAACTTTACAAAAAAGGAAATCCTGAAAATCGGCAATTGAGTAAAAAAATTTTAATGTTCACCCTAACGAGGCTTTGAGTCTCGAAGAATTTAAAGTTCTCATTATTTAGTTTATTTTTGACTGGGACAACAAGGGAAAACTAATATTCTCTCAGTTAAAATAAGAATTGCTCCTGGCAGGACTCAAACCCGCAATCTTTGGCACCGAGGCCAACGCCTTATCCATTAGGCCACAGGAGCTCTCATTAAAAACTTTACAAAAAAGGAAATCCTGAAAAATAGCAATTTCTGTAAAACTATTAATGTTTATAATAACGAGGCTTTGAGTCTTGAAGAATTTAAAGTTCTCAGTAATTAGTTTATTTTGAATGGGTTAACACTAGCAAAAATAATATCCTCTCCGTTAAAATAGGAACAGCTCCTGGTAGGACTCGAACCCACAATCTTTGGCCGGATGCCAACGCCATATCCATTAAGCCACAGGAGCTCTTTTACTAAAATCTTCACAAAAATGTATGGAAATACTGAATAATCTGCAATTGGAGTAAAACTATTAATGTTTACCAAAAAGAGGCTTTGCGTCTTGAAGATTTTAAAGTTCGTAGTAATTAGTTTATTCTGAATGGGATATTAAGTACAAACTACTATCCTCTCAGTTAAAATACGAACTGCCCCTGGCAGGACTCGAACCCCGCAATCTTTGGCTACGGAGGCCAACACCTTATCCAATAGGGCACAGGAGTACTTAGTAAAAACGTCACAAAAAGGAACTACTGAATAATCGGAAATTGCAGTAAAAATATTAATGTTTACCCTAACGAGGCTTTGCGTTTGGAAGAATTTAAAGTCCTCACTAATTAATTTATTTTGAAAGGGAAAACAATCGCACACTAATATCCTCTCCATTAACCCTCTAAGCGGATAGCACGGAAAATTCCGTCAGTGTAAAGATACTTTTGAAAATGCACTGCACGGATTTTTCTGCTATCAATAACGTTTTCAAAAGTGGATTAGCCGCACTTTTCTGAAATCCTTTCCCCCTTTTAAAGGTTTAACATCTTGAAAGATAATTGGGGACGGTGGAAGCAACACAGCAGGACACTGATAGGAAGTTTTATGGCTCGAAGGAAACCCCGTGTTTTGACCCTGGGGCAATCGTAAAAATCGGGGAAATTTCTTTAGACCCAGGAAGTGTTTATTTGTAACCTCGTATTTTAAAAGTTTTGAAAAGTCCCAACGCATAAGTAAAATATGTTACAATTCCCTTTTGGTTTAATATTAATTTGAAACTGTAACAAGTTGGGGCGTGTCAGTCAAATCTGCTATTTTATATAGTTAGACAAATCATATATCTTTTTTAAGTATATTCTTTCGCTTCATTTTTCTTATTTTAATCAAAGCTTTCAGTTTTTGAAACATGATTATTTTATTATAAGATACCGAAAAAAATTAATAAAACACCAAACTGTTTAAAATTTGAAACCTTTTCAATTTTCCAACCACTAAAAATGAATAAATTTAAACTTCATCAAATCATTTGAAACATTTTCTTACACTTTGATAAAATAATAACGAAAAAAAAACTAATTAAGATTTATTAGTTTTTTTTTTTTTTAGATTTCAAAGCCCAAGTGTTCAGGGAAGTTTAAGTACAGTGCCTAGTTATATATTGTTAAAATACACCGAATTATATTTGAATTTTAAGTGCTTGAACTTCAGTTTACATCAAAGACAACAAGAATGAAGATTTTCACTTATTTTTTTTATAACTTGAATGTTTGAATAAATGGTAATCAAAAATATACGGAAACATTTACAGTAGACATTTATGCATATAAATAAACATAAAAATCAATTTTAAATTCGAGCTATTCAAAAACATTCGAATTATTGTTCAAAAATATCTATTTATACAAAATACCTTAACATTTATCTTTTTTAAAGGCTAACTGAATAAGTAATTAAAATCTGGATATGTTTTGAAATCTCGACCGTATAAAGCTAGAAATTTTATGTTAGAAATTCCATTTGAAATTTCAAAAAAAAAAAAAAAAAAAAATGCATCGTGCAGTTAAAAATTATTTACCATAAGTTTTAGCAATTGTTTGAGTATAATAAAAATTTCAAATTTTATTATAATAGCTTCTTTGGTATCTTTTAATATATTTCGAAGATTTCATACAATTCAGTTGAAAAGTACATGCTAAGAGCAAAAAGTATACTAAAAATTGATGAATATACAATTACAATAAATTCTTACATAGAAGCAAAACTGAGAAGCTAAGGCGTAGGAATGAAAAATTTTGAGTATATCTGAAGTAGTTTTCGAAATATTTATTTTAAAGTTCGGAAGATTTGTGTGCGTTATGTTATACTTAATGTTAATTAAATGGTTAAAATAATATGTTAATATTAGTCATGTAATCGTTTGATGACACATTCATATACTAATAAAAATTATCATGGTCATTGATGCGAATGTCAAGAATTTTATGTAATTTTAACTTCAGACATTAAGATATTGATGTAGAAAATATAAAATGACCATCTAAAATACATGAAAAATGCAGTCTGCTATAAAATGATCTTGACAAACAAAATCCGGCATTTTCACTTACAATGGCAGAGTCGGCTTAGTCAGGGGCGATCTGGAAAAACAGAGAGAGAACCGCGGTTTTGATGGATGCCGCTCTAGCTTTTAAAGTTCATAGGAAAAATTATATATATATAAATTACAAATGCAAAAATAAATCTTGTAATTTTCAATACATTTTTATAACAACGAATTGTGGAATTGGCTTCCAATACATTGTTGTGTTTGACAATATCTAAGGTAACCAACCCTACTTTAGATAGATTTGTACTACTTTTTCGTAACCGTATTCCTTTTAAAATTAATTCGTGCAGCCGAAATACACTTTTGCACCCTTAAAAATTTATGTAAACTATTACGGTTAATTTTAATTTATGCAACTTGTGAAATGTTCATAATTAACCATTTCCGTCTAAACAGTTTACATGAAAAAAAATTTTGGACTCCCTCATTTATTAGGGATTTATATAAGATTCTAAGATTAAATTTTATTTTCACCGAATAGGATCGAGTGGTAGTGTATAGTGCTTCCCCACCACAGGTCTGGGGTTCTATTAACGGGCTGCGCAAGGTCGACTCTGCCTTTCATCCCCGCTACATTGGGTCGATAAATGAATACCAAGCTTTCTTCGGGTCTTAAACACTGAAGGTCTCTCTTCAGACAGACCACCAAATCGGGACATCTGTTCATGCACCTCAGCGTCCAATAGTCACGTGTATTATGATGGGCACAGTAGTTCCTGGCCTTCATGGATTGTTGTGCCACTGAGTTTGAGTTTTAAGTTTGAGGATTACCTCACTTTGGGGATACCCCTTAGATAAACATGTATTTCCACTCATTTGCATTTAAACATTTTTCTTTCAATTACGTTTATTTCAGAAGGAAGTTTGATTTTTCAAATATATTTGCTTAATAACATGTATATTTGTGTATTATATTAAAAATTTGATCAATCGAAAATTACATGTTTTTAGCTCCTCTAAAAGCTTTTAGGATATTACAACTGATCTTACAATCCATATACGTTTTATAGTAGTATATTTAAAAATGATAAAGACATTTTTACGACTGTGTAAGCTGTTATGCCTCGTTATAAATATAAAAAATTGCATTCAGCTACAGTTTTTAAAATGTACAGAAATAAGCGGAGAAATAGGATACTTATATATTATGAATATTTTTGACTGCAGTAAGATATATTTATATTTCAGTTTCTTTACAATTTGAATAGAAGTTGTAAGCCATTTTGAGAATAGTTTGATATTGAGTATAAACCCATAGGCTGTTTAATATTGTAAAGTGTTTTACTTTGATACCAGCACACATTAAAATAAGGCTCATTTGCAGTTATATGATCAGCTTCAGTGATGTTTAAATTTTCAAAAATAGTCTACACGTATGAAGATATTCTTTCTCAACCGCACACCACATCTCATACTACATCTTCTCTACAACAGAAAATATTTGTGTATACTGAAAAATTTAATACAGGATACATTTCCAAGTGTTAAATTTGTTTTTAAAATTTGGTATGAATACATTGTGGAAGTGTCGGTTAACTTCACTGAACAAAATTGTTTTAAGTGTACTGTTTTGAAAGACAAAATTAATTAGGGAGAACTTTTCTCACAATAGAATTTGTAATGACTGAATTGTGTGAAAATGTAGTTATCGATGTGTGACATTTTTCCTTGTAATAAAAGAAACAGAAAGATAAGAAATTTAACTTGAGTAGAAAATGGTTAGAAGTACTGTCATGCGCATTTGAAGAAGTATATCCCCCATTAAAATTAAAAATTATTGACTGAATGTGTGTTATGTCCATCACAAATGCCGATGTAGAAAAGATATTTTTATTTAATACAAGGAGTTCGAAAAGGAGAGCACTAGGAATGAAAATTTAGATTTTTTCCGAAAAATATTCAGTTAACATAAATATATGATTTATATGATTTAAATTTAAATAAATTAAAAGTATTGAAATCATTTTTTATGTTATTCTAAATTAAAAATATAATTGAATAGAGAAAGATCAGTTTTATTTCATAAATATAATCATCGTATGCACCATTTATTGTCTTATTGTTTAAAAAAAAATATAGGGCCATTACTCTTTTTACCTCATATCATTTTAAAAACAGGAAAGTGAGCACATTTTCTTACTCTCATATTCAAAAATGAATACAGGATGCTTTTTTCTGGTTCAAATCGCAATACCAAAATATTTTTTTTTAATTTTTAAAAAATGACAGAAAAATAAATTTTGTTTGAAGAAAATATAACTATTTTTCAACTTTTAACACGCCATTTATTTCATGTTTTTTTACCCTGTGCATTTTGTTTTAATTTTACTGTGACTGAATCTATGGGGAAAACGACAGTGTAGAACTACGGTTTTCATACAAGATTGCCCAAGGCAACTTAACAGCTAGCTGTAAACGATTGCTATCCTGGTTCTCACTGAACAAAGACGCCGGACTAAGTCATAAAATTGTCCCCTTTCGACCTCCCAAGTTTTAAAAGGGGGAAAGAATTGAAGTCTGTTGCATTTTTGAAGGGAATAGCAAAATAAGAGTAAAACGCTTTCGGAATAACCTTTCAGGAGGAAGATATCCACTTAGAGTGTTAAAATAGGAACAGCTCCTGGTATGACTCGAACCCACAATCTATGGCAAAGGAGGCCAACGCCTTATCTATTAGGCCACAGGAGCTCTCAGAGAAAGCTTAAAAAAATGGAAAAACTGAAGAATCGGCAATTGCATTAAAAACTAATAATGTGTACCATAACGAGGCATTGAGTCCCGAAGAATTTAAAGTTGTCAGTAGAACAACAAAGTTAATCTAATACCCTCTCTGTTAATATAGGAACTGCTACCGGAAAGTACTCGAACCTACTACCTTTGGCTCCGGTTGATTGATTTATTTATTTATTATTAACGTCGCACTGTTTAGCTACATCAGGGATTTCGGCGAAAGACCACGTAATTTTGAACCACGGTCAAGAGACGTGGACCTTTGGCTCCGGAGACCAACGCCTTAGCCATTAAGCCACAGGAGCTCTTAGCAAAATCTTCACAAAAAAGGAAATACTGAATAATCTGCAGTTGGAGTAAAAACTATTAATGTTTACCAAAAGAGGCTTTGCGTCTTGAAGAATTTAAAGTTCGTAGTAATTAGTTTATTCTGAATGGGATATTAAGTACAAACTACTATCCTCTCAGTTAAAATAGGAACAGCTCCTGGCAGGACTCGAACCCGCAATCTTTGGCTCCGGAGGCCAACGCCTTATCCATTCGGCCACAGGAGCGCTTAGTAAAAACTTCACAAAAAAGGAAATACTGAATAATCAGCAATTGCAGTAAAGCTATTAATGTTTACACTAACGAGGCTTTGAGTCTCGAAGAATTTAAAGTTCTCAGTAATTAGTCCAGTGTTTCTCAAACTGTGGGGAGCATCCCCCTAGGCATGCGTGACAACCCTACAAAGGCAGCGCGAGCATATTGAAATTAAAAGTAAATTAAAAGTATAAAACAAAGAATTGTTTAAAAAATTATCAATATACTAAAAGCAAACAAATATAAAAAGGAATTACACATTTTCACTTATAAATATATCAGGCATGTGCAATGAACTTTATAAACATTTTAAAGATACTACGTTCAGTATCAGTTTAATAATTACCATTGTCACCATAGGATTGTCATAAATAAAATTAAAAACCAAAATTAACACTTATAACGATAACTTATAAGGTTTGTAATTAATCCCTTATATGCCGGTTAAAAACTATGTGATTCGATCTAAAATGCCACTGTTTAACATGTAAACGAGCGTATCTGGTGTATTGGGAAGGGCGATTTTAAAGGAATAAAGAAACAAATAATCTGAAACAATTATATCCGTCAAAAAGACAATCACGCTTCTTTTTTTGCATTCCAAAGCCTTCCGAATAAATGTATGGATAGCAGTGCACAGAAAATATCGTACTTCGGAAAGACGTTTATATACTTTGGGCAATTAACACACTGACTGAGTGAGACGTTTATATACGCCGTTGGTACTAAAGAGGTAAAAGTCAAACTGTAGGTTTAGCTTCAAAGTATAATAAAGTTGAATTCAATGTATCGTATTGTATGGGGGTAGCGCAATGAAAATAATTATTGAAAAATGGGTCATGAATATTGAAAGTATCAGAAGCACTGAATTAGTTTATTTTGAATGGGACAGCAAGGTTAAACTAATAGTTAGGTTAAACGAACCCAAAGTTTTCGGCTTCGTACGTCTGCGCCTTATCCATTAGGCGTTAGGTGCTCTCAGCAACTACTTCACAAACACGGAACTACTGCTGAATAGGTAATTGCACTAAAAAAGTTAATTTTTACTCTAACGAGGCTTTGAGCTTCGAAGAATTTAAAGTGCTCAGTAATTAGTTTATTTTGAATAGGACAACAAGAGAGAGAGAACAAACTAATATCGTCTCCCTTAAAAAAGGAAATGTTCCTGGTAGCACTCGAGCCCATAATCTCTGGCTCCGGAGGCCAACGCCTTATCTATTAGGCCGCAGGAGCTCTCAGCAGTAACTGCACATAAAAGGAAATAGTGAAGTATCGGCATTTGAAACAGTTAATGTTCACACTAACGAGTGTTTGAGTCTCGAAGAATTTAAAGTTCACATTAGTTAGTCTATTTTGAAAGGGACAACAAGGTTAAACTAATATCCTCTCTACTAAAATCATAACAGCTCCTGGTGGGACTCGAACCCACATTTTTTGTCTCCGGAGGCCAACGTCTTATCCATTAGGCCACAAGAGCGCTTTGCAACTGCTTCACAAAAAGGGATATCTGAAGAATCGGCAATTGGAGTAAAAACTTTTAATGTTTACCCTAACGAGGCTTGGAGGCTCGAAGTATTTTAAGTATGTTATAAAATTAATTATTATGTTATTTATTTATAATTATTACCATGTTATTTTTTATAATTATTGTTATGTTATTTATTTATAATTATTATTATGTTATTTATTTATAATTATTATTGTTATTTTTTGATAATTATTATTATGTTATTTATTTATAGTTATTTTTATCTATAAATTTTATCATTTTATATCGATATTAATTATTGGTTCTTTTCATTCTATTCTTATATTCTTCATTTGGAATCTATTTTAAAATAGTTCTTTACAGTTATTTTTCTAACAATTTATTTCCGCCAGGCCGCCATCTTGGATTCTATGTAACTCGACAACAACGGCTGCTTTGCGCGTAGCACTCCTATATTTAATTAAGTTCCTTTGTTAAGTTACACATTCTGATAACTAGGCCGACGATATCATGTAACTTAACAAATACGTTGGTGTGGTTTTGAAGTTAGGCGAGTGAGGTATCAAGTTAAGTGCCATCCTCGTCACAAGTCCGCTGTTTAAAATTACTGTGCCTGTTGCCAGTAGCCCTCAAGTTACTTTAGAATGCGACGTCAATAAATACTCAGTGACTCCATTTTTTTTAATCATTCTCTCCTTAAAAATCTCTTTAAATTATACATTTCATTCTAATTATTTCTAAATGTACAAATCATGTGTCCTTTGTGTAAATTGCTTTTCTAAAAATAAAAGCTTTTGGAAATGCTCATATTTTTATTGTGATACGCTAAATGTTTATGAGAATTTTAGAGAATAAATTTACTTCGGTGCCAACAGTAAATGTATTTTTCTTTTAACATAGAAATCTAGATTTAGTGTTATTTTTGAAACATTTTTTTTGAAAGATTTTAATTTATCTTCAATATATTAATTTTTTATCCTATTTATATTTAATATTATTTTTCTATTTTAATTTCTTTTTCCCATTTAATATTTTCTAATTATTGCATTAATTTCATAGTTTTAAAAAATAGATTTATAGAGAATTTTCTTATTGTACTTGCAATGATATTTTCCGTAAAATTGTTTTATTTTTTTCAATAAAAAACCTACATTATTAAAATTCGATCTTCTATAAAAATGAAGGATAAGATAAATCAACTTTCTTTCGGCTAACACTTCCATAAAAATAAATTTTATTCGAAAAAATATTCCACCCACTTTTTTGGGGGGTTGTAAAATATTTGTACTTGAAAGTATTTATTTTCATTTAAGATCTTTTTCAATGGGCAGAGTTTCCGAAACGCTTCCATCCTGAAACATGCTTCAAAGGAAAGTCAATAGGATACAAAAGAAGAAAAGATTGTGTGCGTACTTCAATATATTTTGTGTGTGTGTGATGTTTAAATAGCTTATATATATATATATATACCTTTGAATGCTTTATCTGACAAGCCTCAGTCTTTGTTATTTGTAGGATTGAACAACTGTTAAGGAGAACGCTATTCATTTAAATATTTACACATTATTTGTAGTTTAAGCATATTAAACGTTTTTAAAAGCAATTTTTACTGGGAAGCATATTAGTTTTAAATAATGCTTTGTGATTTATCAGAAGAATCGTGATTTACCTTGAATTCAGAATTGAAATAATAAACTTTAGAATTTTTAAAATTTGATTTTATCTAATTTTTCAGAGATTCTAACTCTTTGTCGAAGACTATCATGTTATTTTTTTTTTGAGACTCCAGGTAGACTCCATGTGTGCCGACAAGTATAACACAAGACTCACAAACGTAAGTCAATACACAATCAATAGTGGTAAGAAGCTTCATGTAGAAAGATATACGCGTAAATGGGAAAAGAAACGAACAAAAAAATGGATGCAAATACAATAAGTACAGAATAAAATACAAGATTGCTCACATGCAAACGGATACATCCAGTAATTAAAATTATGCAATGGGGAAGATTAGGAAACACGATCATAATAAGATTTTCAAAATACAAATACATAAAGCATATACACATACATAAAGCATACACATAATAGCATAAATACATAAAGCATACACATAATAGCATAAATACACACACACACATATATAAATATTCGCTTACAGTAAATGTTAGCAAACACACAAAATTTACAATCTAAATAATACAGGAAAAAATGCTATGCACAAAGTGATGTAAAATATTATTTGCTTTGAACTAAGGCAGAGGAAGGAGGAGGCCATGCTATATATAAAATATAAGTGTACGCTTACAGTAAATGTTAACAAACACACAAAATTTACATCTGGATGTGTACAGGAAAAGAACATGGTCAGTAGGCGACAAAATGATGTTTCAAATTATTTAACCCTCTAACAAAGGCAGAGGAAAATTCCGTCAGTGTAAAGATGCTTCGAAAATGGACTATATTTTTCTGCCTTTGTAGGAAATTT